TATAAACTTGGAAGCTATTGGAGTATTCTGGAAAACAGTTATTGATGATCTTATTTCTTTCATGAGAAGTTGAAAATCATATGGTCGCTTTCTATTGAAATCTCACTATTCTTACAAATTGTAAAGAAAGAGAATATGAAAGAATGAAACTACTCAAAAAGAGAAGCATATTTATCAATAGGATGTATTTCGATCCATTGTCTTCTGAACGAACGCTGCCGACTATATATCTCATGCAATTTTCTGATGAGAAAGCCACACTCAAAAAAAAAACGTTTGAATTACAAGAGACTCAATCGAAGAGTGAAGGATAAAGGCAAAAAAAATTCAACAATAAAACATCAAAACAAACAATGTCTTCTCTTCAGCTTACTTGGATGTTTAAGTCTGAGTACCTGTCAGCTCAGAACAAACGAATTCCGACTGTATATTCACTCTTCACAGGTGTGTTTCACAAAGGAAGACAAATCATTGCTCATTTCGGATGATTGATCATTATCTTCAAAATGTTTGTTTTAAAATTCTAAGTCTAGTCTACATTGGGTCTTGAAAATGTATAAAGCTTTCTACATAAAAATTTCCAAAGCGAACTGAAGCAGACTTGTCCATGCACCAAGGGGGAGGCTGTATATAACAAGAGATTTTTAATTCGAAAAAAGCTTACCATTTTCATTTTGTATGTATACTAGCTCCAAGTAAAATTCTGTCGTGTAAAACGTTTACTTCTGTACGTCGATCAGTATCAAACGACCACCTCAAATTCTTTCCAATATTTGAATAAAATCTTTGTTCTGCCTGTACACGCTTTATGTCATCATTATTCGAAAAAGCCGCTGTCCTGTTTTCTTCACAGTCATTCATTGAGTTGAATCGATCTTTACTTGAATATATCCACATATCTTCAGATTATCCGTCCTCGAAGATTATACTCAGTTTGTACGGTGCCTTACTAGATGCCTAAACAGTTTCCTACTTCATTTCATTCATGTTATACATCCTCGTTTACCGCACTCTTAACCATACCATATTCCTATCAACTGCTCAATAAATGAACAAACTGATTGTCATGACTATTTATGTACGATCTTTTCAACGAACATGGTCTTCAACCAAATGAATTATTTCAGCCAAGCAAGATATCCGAACAGAATCTTACTTTTTAGTTCCATTCATTTCCCAACAATTTTTTGTTCCTGTGATCGCATCACACACTTGATTTCTCGTCGAGCGATATATATCGATGAAGTTCTAATTCGAACAATTCATTTTTCCAAAATATCCTTCTAGCGAAAACAAATGAAATGCTTTGTTTTGAATTGAGTGATATTCTTGAATGGAACCTTCTTTACAATGATTCGTTATGTCTAAAGATCTTTCTCGCTTAACCAACGAACACACTTCATTTCAAAGTCAGTGATATTACTGGATGAAAGCGTGATTAAACCGATTCATTTTGCCAAGAGATCTTTCTGACGTAACAGGGTTCACATTTCGTTTCAAATTCAGTGATATTCTTGAATCGAATCCTGCTTACAACGATTCATTTTGTCAAAAGATCTGTCCTGTATAACCGAGGGATACATTTCGTTTTCGATGTGAATGATATTCCTGAATGTAACCCTCGTTAGAACGACTCATTTTGTCAAAAGATCTATCAAGTATGACCAAGTGACACATTCCGTTTCGAACTGAGTGATATTCTTGAATGGAACCCTGTTTACAACTATTCCTTATGTCAACAGACCCTCCTGTGTTGCAAAGTGATACACGTCTTCGAAGGAATTGCAATTGTTGAATGAAATCCTAATCAGAACGATTCGCTTTCTCAAAAGATCTCTCTGGTATGACATTCCCATACTTCGTTTCGAAATGAGTGATATTCTCGAATAGAACCATTATTGGAGCAATCCAGTTTGTCAAAAGCTCTTTCTTGCGCTAACAGTTCATACATCTATTTTTCCAACTGTGTGATATTATTGAATGGAACCCTTTTCACAACGATGCGTTATATCAAAAGATCCTTTTTTCTTAACCATGTGATACATTTTGTTTTCGAAATCACTCATATTCTTGAATGGAACTATTATTATAACGATTCATTTTGTCAAAAGATCTTTCTCGCGTGACCAAGTGATACACATGGTTTCAAACTGAGTAATATTCTTGAATGGCACCCTTATTAGAGCGATTCAATTTTGTCAAAAGCTCTCTCTTGCGTAATCAAGTGATACATTTCGTTTTCCAAGTGAGCGGCATTCTTAAATGGAATCCTGGTTAGAACGATTTATTTTGTCAAAAGATCTTTTGACAAAATGAATCGTTGTAAGCAGGATTCGATTCAAGAATATCACTGAATTTGAAACGAAATGTGAACCCTGTTACGTCAGAAAGATCTCTTGGCAAAATGAATCGGTTTAATCACNCGCGGTGCTAAATGAACACGCGTTCAGACGCAGTAAAAATCGATTTTTACTGCGTCTGAACGCGGTTTACTAACAAACTGCGATTAGACGCGTATATTTTGCGTCTGGTGTTTACATGGGAAGTCTGTTGACAAATGATGAAGAATCTGAACGAATACAAATATGTAAGAAGCATAGATTGTAATTGCTTCGATTGAAAACTGGAGATTTGTTGAAGCAAAACAATGAAAGAGATTGTTAATAAAAAAAAGAGAAAATATTTTGACATCTGTTAAGACCGAATAAATAAAAAAATGGAAGGACGTTAAAGATTTTTGTGCTCACATATTTTAAAGTAATTTTTGTTTCCTTCAAAACTAAGATCGCGAGTTTAATTTTAAGAAAAATAGTTTACGATTGAGATGAAAAAAAACTTGATATCGCATAGATTAAGTATAATTATTGAAAATGTTTTGAAGTTTAAATTGAATGCGATCAGAAATTGATATTTATACATTTTTTAACTTGATTTTGATTGAAAAGACGAAGAATACACTTAAAATAAATGTTATTCGTATTTGATTGCTTCAAGAATTCCGAAAGAAATATTTTTCAATATCACAAAGTGTCGTATGGACTCATACTACTAGTTTTCTTAGATAGATTCATGTAAATATTCTTAATAATTGCTGCTATTTTATTAAAACTGAATAACTTTTGATGAAGTACTAGATAGGAGACTTTGTTTATTTGTTGAGATAAGTAAATGATCTTTCATTATAGAAATTTTCACATTTTTCTACTTTGTTATTTTATAACTATGGAGTTGTATAATAAAATATAACAAATAAACATATATCATCTGATTATGATATTTCAATCAACTCGAGATTTCTTGGAGAAATTTCGCATCATACTACGAAATGACTTTATTTGACTTAGAATTATTATATGAATTAATGCTCTGCAACTTGATCTATTTTACAAGAAAAGATAGACCTAAATGTGTTTTTGTATTAATGATTTATCAGAAATGAAGAACATATTGTTTTTTGAAGTCCTTACTTAAAGATATTGGCTATTTTAAAAATATTTATCATGAAAAATTTGAAATACCAAACCAATCCTTTATCTATATATCATCCATGTTTTCCGATCAATTGTCTAGAAAGAAATGAACTTCTTCTATTAACAATAGGAAAAATTGAATAAGTCAATTTAACAAATTTAATATTAGCTATTAAAGATTGTTGTTGAAATGTTGAAAAGAATATCACTACTATTGGAAATCTATTTTGAAGGGTGTGGGTGTGGGTTTGAGTAGTGTTAAAGATAAAACTCACAGCCACAGCCACAGCCACACACCCACAGCTACACTCACACCCATTTCTATTCTCCCGTGCTCTGTTTTACAAGATGATTTTGAAAAAGAAAACTTGGCTATCAAACAAGACAGTGTCACTAATAAACCACGAAACAAAAATTTACCCTCGTAGTCTGTGACTAATTTCACCATTTATTCACAATATTTTTTACGCTGTTTTTGTCATCGATCCATTTTATCTTTTGAAACTCGTACTTTTTGTATTCACTTTATTTACAATAAAATAATGATAGTGACTCAAAAAACGTCAAAGAAAATTGCATAAGTATGATCTTTCGCGAATTCCTGAACTGACTAGGTCTGTCGTCGAAATACGAGAAGATTGTTATTTTACGTCTTATATTTTTTAAGTGAAAAATTGCACGATTCATCAATTTATGAAAACTTGTCTCAATCAAACTCAATCATATGCTGATGAACACCAATTTGAAAAACAAGGATACGAATGTCAAATCCTTCTGTAGAATGAGTATCCAACATCTACATTTGAAGTTAGATAGGGCTCAAATGTTTGTCTTTCCCAATTTCTGCACCATCAATTAGGTCAAGTTAAGAGAAATGTGTTAACTATCGCTATTTTTAAATCTGCAATTATACAATCAAAATCCATGCATAGAATAGAGTAATTGAAATATAACTCATTTAAAAGGAAACAAATGTCGGTGATCATTATCAAACAAAAGTCATAGTTTCAGCCACCCACACCCACCCACACCCACCCACACCCACCTCAACATCCTAGTTATCGACTTGATTGATTGCAGACAAGCAAGAGTTAATGCTAGAAAAGTATTTTGTCGTTTCGTGAAGTGATAGTTCGATATGTTTTCATTTCATTTACCCACAGCCAAACACTCACCCCAAGAGTCATCTCTATGAATTGTCACATTACAATATGATTATTTGTCAAAAAAATGAGCATTATATGTTTCTTGATTGGCATGAAGTCTTCAATTTGGGTTCATTTTGGAATATTTCAATCATAACATGGTCATCCGTACAATTCAGCGCTATTAATGATGCGATTACCATCGTTCCCACCGGTAACTAAAACTTTTCCATTGGCTAATGTGGATGCCGTGTGCCAGTACCTTCCTGTATTCATGTTGCCAGTCAGTGTCCAAAGTTCTGTAGATGAATCATACAAGTCTCCATTATTTAAAGGTAATCCATGATTGTTGAAATAGGGGTACCCGCCAGAAAGTAAGACCATTTTATTGGCAAATAACGATGCAGCATGCCAGGATCGTGATATTGCCAGTTAATTCCCAAAGTCCTGTTAACGGATCGTACAACTCTGTAGTATTTGACAAATTATCATTGTTGTCATTAGTAGCATACCCACCAGCTACCAAGACTTTTCCATTAGATAATATGGCTGCTGTGTGACTACTTCGTTGAAAAGTCATATTGTTAGTCATCGTCCAACTCCCTGTCGATGGATCATACAGTTCCGCACTATTTAATAGCACGGAATTATTTCCACTATAGCTCACCCCACCAACAACCAAAACCTTTCCATTTGCCAATATCGATGCTGTGTGCCAGTATCGCGCTATAGTCATGCTGCTAGTCATTGTCCAAGACCCTGTGGATGGATCATATATCTCTGCAGTATTTAACGGCATATTACTACCTTCACAACAAATGACTCCACCAGTAATTAAAATTTTGCCATTGCTCAATATTGATGCAGTATGCCAGTATCGTGCCATAATGATATTTCCAGTTGTTGTCCAACTTCTTGTTACCGGATCATATAATTCCGCACTATTTGCCATCAAATTATAATTTGCATTGTAAGCGACTCCACCAGCAATCAAGACCTTGCCATTAGCTAGTACTGATGCTGTGTGCAAGGATCGTGCCGCATTCATATTGCTAGTCATTGCCCAACGTCCTGTTGATGAATCGTACAATTCTGCACTGTCAAACACTACAGTAGAGCTTCCATTCAACATGTATCCGTCAGTAATTAAGACATTTCCATCGAATAATATCGATGACGCATGGTTACATCGTGGAAAACTCATATTGCCCGTATTTATCCATCTTGGAAACTAAAAGCGTAATAAATCCATCGCATAATTCTTGAGAAGTCTCCGCAATAGTCTTATTCGGAGATGATTCTTAAAAATGAGCTTAAATTCCTCACAGAATTCTTAAGCATTTACTGATAATATTAAGAAAGAGGCAATGGTGACAGTTCATGTAAAAGAGATTTTCTACAAAAGCGAACTCTTTAACACATAAAGAATCCGCCGGACTTTGGATATTGGTTTTTATCCGGCAGATTGACTAAACTTTTAAATAATGCAAATTAACTATGAATTGGATATGTGCAATAAAATCAATTAAGGTAAAGTCGTTTTGTAGTGATATTAGTTATGACAATCTCTGCAAGATGGATTCACCATAGAACTTTAATCAAGAGTAAAGTGAAACAAGGGCACATAGATGATGAGATTGTTTTTCGTTCGCATTGGTCCCCGATCGTGTCTCGTGCTGACAGGTTGAACAACGACTAACAATGGAAGAGTGTGATCTGTTGAGAGGAAAGGTTAAACATGTTCGGGTCAAAAGAAAGCTTTCAACGAGAAACTAAAGAATTTAAAATATGAGCTGCGTATGGCGTACCTGGACAGAGATATTCAATTTTTAAGTTATGCATTAATAGAGTATAGAAGCATGATAATAGATGAACTAGTCACATCAATCATTCAATATAATTATCAGATCTTTAGGAGGCGAGCTTCTAAAACCTAGGTGAGATTTATTGACAATATCAAGACCTCTCCAGAAACAACTTCCGAAGTTTAACAGTACTGAATTCGAAAAGAACAATATGGCGTTTGAATAATGTTCATACGTAAGATATTCAAAGATCAAATGCATTGATGCTTCGATCCATAATATATTATATATTCGTTTGCGGTTGGTATTCGTACGTATTAATCATGTGCGCTTTCAAGTAACGTCTTTTCTCATTTTACACCATAACTAACACTTGAAACGATTAGCGTCGTCGATTAAAAAGATAAATTTGGTGAGCATTGCGAAACATCTGCATTTAACACAAATGGAATTTTCCTTTAAAGATCCAATAACAACTGCTGATGAAATTTTCGCTTCACAACAGTTATTCGAAATCTTAAAAACACTCAAAGATAGTTACTTTAATGAACTACACACTTATAAAAGTCTCGATTTTCTCGATGAATATGATGAAGTCACGGACAAAGAAGACAGCGCTGATGAAGAAGAAAGTGTTGATGATTATGATGAAAATCAATACCTGGATGTTGAGAATAATTTTTACATTAGAAGAGATGGAAAATATAGTGGAATGGGTTGATCAACATCCAACATATAAATTTGCATCTATTAAGCAAAGGTTTCGAAAAGTCAAATACATGCATTATATTACAAGATTTAGAGAATATATTAAAACAAGTGGCACAAGATTAGAAAAAGTAAAAGAATCAAAGAATTTATGTGGAATGAATTTTATGTCAAAAGAGCAATTGAGAAAGAAGCAATTTATGATAGTGATCTGGAACTTTTTGCAATTCAAAAAGCAAGAGAACTAGATTGGGATAATTTCAAAGCAAGTGATTCATTTATCAAACTGTTCAAGAAAGAATATCGAATTTCATCAAGAAGGTACAACAAACTTATTACTCGAGTTTCTTCAACCAGAAATATTTGTAGTTTACAAGGTACGTCAAACTTTTACTTTTGATTTGCATTTATATGTTCTAATGTGATCTATATGTATATTTAGATGGTTACGACTGGACTGAAAATCAAAGATCTTTAATTTTGAATTATTCTTCCCATCAAATTTTGAACAGTGATCATTGTTCATTTCAACAAGAATATATTTCTCCAAGAACTCTTTCCTTCACTGGTGAAAGAACAACAGAAGTTGTTGTTAAAAAGAAGAATAATATCACGCACTCTTATACCGTGCAGCCAATTACATCAGCTGATGGACAATTATTAAAGAAATTCTTCGTCATTCTCCAAGAAAAGGAAAATGAATTCGGTAAAAGAGTAGAGAAAGATTTAATTGTACCACCAAATGTCGCAGTGCGAGCTTCAAAATCTGGAAAAAGCAGCGATGAAAAACATCGCACTTTGTTAAATGACGTTCTACTTCCTTTGGTTGGCAGAAAATTCCTTATTTTCCTTGATTGTTGAACAACTCAAGCTGATCTAAAAAAATTTAGAGCAGTATTTCCACATCAAGACAGTCGATTATTGATTTTTCCTAAAGGATCAACTGGTTATATTCAACCACAAGATCTGTCCTTATTTCGTTCATGGCGATTTATTCATGAAAAAATCGAGCATTATGTTCATATCAATCGAATAGAAATGAACTTAAACAATCGTCAATATTTCATAAATATGCATTCTATCATTCACAATCAATTAACTGCTCCACAATTTAAAAATCTCATCAAGTCTGGATTCGTGCAAGCTAAGATACTCAATGAAACAATCGGTGAAATCAACAAACCAAAGGATGTTTGCTTTAAATTCTATGATCTTTATTGTTCGGTTATTAATTGTGAAGAACCAACTCTTCTTCTTTGCGCCTGGTGTAAAAGACACTTTTGTTATTATCATTTGATTGAAGATCTTCATCTCCATGTATAGTACATCTTTTGAAATATTATTTTGTATAGTTTATTAATTTCACGTAAAACAAAGTCAAGAGTATCGATGAATGGCCGATTTCTATATGTAATAATCAATATATTTCCTATTTCGTTCTATCAGACTTCAGAAGAAATTGTCTCTAGAGAGGTCTTGATGTTGTCAATAAATCTCACCTAGGTTTTGGAAGCTCGCTTCCTAAAGATCTGATAATTATATTGAATGATTGATGTGACTAGTTCATCTTTTATCATGCTTCTATACTCTATTAATGCATAACTTAAAAATTGAATATCTCTGTCCAGGTATGCCATACGCAGCTCATATTTTAAATTCTTTAGCTACTCGTTGAAAGCTTTCTTTTGACCCGAATATGTTTAACCTTTCCCCTCAACAGATCACACCCTTCCATTGTAAATTTTTTTTTTCATTTCTTCGAATATACAGTTATGCTCGAAACTATGGATATAGGTTACCATAAATGAATGAAGCATTCGGATACTCACATTCACACTCACCCTCTTCATTGAAAATCAATATTATTTTATACATATAACCGAAATTCCTATAGGAATTTCTTTATTTTCAATAAAAGAGAAATTGTTCATTGAAAGCGTGTACGGACTTTCCATATTGGTTTTATATGTGTCGACTAAGTTCAGATAACAGCAAGTAGGGTTACTTCAGTTTCGCTAGAATCTAGAGTCTTTTTTATCATGCTTTATGTCTATGTTCTGATTCAGGAAAAAATAGCAAATGAGCGTATCTGGAAGGGATTTACAACAATGCTACTTTATCGAATGAATGTTCTCTTCAGTGATGATATTAATTATCATTTAGAAATCTTTTCACTTACGGTTAGACGTCAAGCAAGGGGGAATCAGCAGAGACTTCAGCCGTGAAGTCTCATGAAGTCTTGTAAGTCTTTTGAAGTCTTCTGAAGTCTCTTGAAGTCTTTTGAAGTCTTATGAATTATCATAAAGTCTCATAAAGTCTCTGAAGTCTTTGAAGTCTCATGAAGTCTCATAAAGTCT